ARRYYGTTKAGTGAAACATTTTATTTTCGCAACTTTATCATAACTCCCATACATTCCCTTATAAACCATACACAGGAACCTTGTTTGGGCTGCCTGTGGAATCCTCAGCTCTCGTTTGCCATCGTTTGTAATAGGATACCTATTAAAGCACAGGAATACCGTAGCAAAAGGTTTTGTTTCTCTAAGTCCGGGCCTGAGAGAGCTTGGGCTTCCTGTGGTTTTTATTTTATACATGATATCCGCTGACTTGGCGAGCGGCGCATGGCCGGAATAGTTGGCGATGATACATGGCATCACATACCCAGCCTTCATTAGCCATGTTCAGAACCGTTACGCGTAAAGACTCCGGAACAAATCAACCCTATCCAAATGACAAGTCAAGAGCGGATTTTGAAAAAACCCACTAAACGGCCTCAAATCGCACTGAAACTTCGCCAGAAGACTGAACAAAGTAAAAGCAACGACTGTAACAAGTTTTGAAGCAAATTGTTGAGTGAAACATTTTATTTTCGTAACTTTATCATAACTTCCATACATTCCCTTATAAACCATACACAGGAACCTTGTTTGGGCTGCCTGTGACAGTTACAGTTCAAAAATATTATTAGCGGACGTATCTCGATAGCAAAAAAAATATTATTGTAGTTGATGATACAAAAGGGGGAAGTTTCTTTGAGTTAAAATTGTCGCATGAGAATGGGTATTTTAGTGTGTGGTGATAGTGCGTTGTCTTTGATCGATGGTACTTAAATCTCTAACTCCTGTGTGTTAGTTATAGAGGCCGTAATCTGGTAGTCACGTCTTAGGGTTCGAATTACTAGCGTTCGGGTCCGAGGGAGATCGTGTTACCCCGTGTCTAGGCTCGGCAGTGTTTCGTACAGTAGCGTTGGTGCTGCATCTGTCATCGCTGTGTAAACACACTGCCACCCCACCTTTCAAAATAATTAGATTAAGCGAGCAGACGAGAGAACAATGGCAAGCAGGCTAGTAGCCTACCCCGGGGCTCTATATGGAACTTAAGGTGAATTTGATTAACCATATTAACTCTGGACGGTTCAATATTACTGACGTAAGGAGCATCGCGCGGTCACGTTGTTGTTGGTAATAGTACAAACAGAGTCAAGTACGGAACGACCGTTAAAGAAGTAACGCTCATAGGCCATTCAAACCGTTTGACCTTTGGAATGAAAACGTCTAGATTACAACAGCGAACGAAGGAACACGGACACAAGATAAGTCAAACAAGTATAACGTTAATTTAATTCAAATAATCGAAAGGAAAAAAAACTATAAAAATCCAACCACATTCGGTGTCCTAGTGCCCTTGCTATAAGTAAACAAAAAAGAAACAGACCCTGAAAGAGGACCATCAGCGATGAGCTATCTGATGCATGAAGACGTAGCTCATAATAATAGATTTATCCAGCTTAGTTGGAACCAGGATTTTAGAAAAATGAGCACTTGGCGATAAAAGGGTAGATCAAGCCTGCTAACTACTGCATATCGTAACTTCTCAGCTATCATATATCTCTCAGTTTCTGCGCTACATTGATTCGTTAGCAGAATGGCAAACATCGACTGATCATGACGATGACAACCACTAGTTTGTTCTTCTGGATATTTAGGATCACAATACTTTGTGGACCCTTTTGGTATGATGCAATCTTCAACAAGGCTACAAAGTATCGCCCATTTAAAAATAAACTTACGGATTTGCGGGGTGTTAAAAACAAAAAATCCGCCTGCTTGGGGAAGTTTAAGTTTCTTTTCGTTCAAGTTTTGCATTGGGAAATATTCAAACATCTTTGGATAGGTAGCAGATAATATGCTATGGCCAGCGGGATGCAAGTAAAAAAGAAATCCAGAGCTGCTGTTCACCATTCGTTCAAGTACTTTAGTGTATGGCTTTCTGATTTTCACGCTAGAATCCATCCACAATGCTCCTCCTTGCTCTGCCAGTATTTGCTGGATAATAAGCGGTTTCCATGCGTACGAGTTTAAGTTT